ATTCGAAAATCTTTGTTACGTTTTTGTCTCAAGTAAACTGGACTAAAAAAATTTTTAGGATTCTGAGACACACGACATGCCTGGAACATGCCATCGTCAGGCTGGAAATGCAATAATCATAACCGATGTCCCTTGATAAGCTAGTGTTTTTGAAATTCCTAAAATGCCGAGCTGTTCAGACTATTTACAAGTCAGTGACTTGCTGCACATTTTTCGAATGGTTGTACCTCAACAATGAGGAATGAATTCGTTTTTAGACGGTATTCGCGATAAAGAGAAATATAATTTCTCTTCCAGATTCGTACTCGCCGTCTACCAAATTCGTAGCTGGCATCTTTGCCACTGTGCCACATCAGCCGAATTTGCCTCGCGATTTATTGGGCGGTTATGGTAGTTACCACTTGTTCAGGGATCAGGTGTTCTCTTACTTTCAAGTTATTTCACAGGATCAGAATTCAAAATTTTAATTTTTCGAGCCATATTTGAAGAAGGTTGCGAAAATTCAACCTCAGTGTCCCGGTTTTAGAGACCGAACAACGATAAACGTGGATCGACTGACTGGACAATGGGCAGATGCATCTTCCTTTATTAGTAAATTTGCCTGAAAGAAGACACTGGTTACAAACGCTGAACGGAAGGATAAACGGCGCACAATCTATATTAATCCATATATATAGTATGACTGATATGGAAACATGAAAATTCTTTTACGTCATTTTGTCGATGTCTAAATGGAAAAGGAAACTTTCAGAGAGGCTGGTGAAAAAATTAAATGATCCCAGGCCGATGATATTTAGGGAAGGAAAGAAAGTAACACTTCGCGCACGATGGACGATGAAGGCCTGAATGTTCTACATTTGAACCTGCAAAACTTGCATATTCGGATAGTCGTCACTCTGAATGGACGATGACACTAATTGTTGAAGAAACGATTTATTGTCATTAGATATACTTGGTCAATACAACTTGGAACGTCTGTTCCCAGTTAACACTATTGGTGACGGTATCGCCACAAATGAGATTGTATAGTTTAATGCCGATTTGCCTAATCATTTGTTTATGAGTCATGATTGAAATTAATGTAGTGTGCTAATTTCTGTAATTAAGTTCGTATGGAGTGTTTCGGCTACATTAGTGGCTATACTTATAATATATTGAAATTGCGAGGCGGTAGTTTAAATTGTACGGTTTAAAGTTTTGTGTTTAGCGAGCCACTGCGTAAAACTCTCGTGCATCGCTTATTTGCACCTCATATTTGTCCCCGCGTGGATTGGTGCACAACATTCGTACGCGATGTATCCGTCGTTCATACAAACGTTGATCATCGGACTAAGCCTGATGTGTCGTAGCAGTGTCCAAAAAGAGTTGGTTCATATGACGATCAACAAGCGGTTTATGACGGGTGAGTACACTTTAAAAGATTACAATTCATCGAAATGCCCCGGTGCCGGTTCTAAGCCCGGATGAAAAAGATGGAAGGTTGGAGTCCGTGGCGAAGTCTCCGCAAAACTTATCCACCTGTCCCTCGTGGTTCATCGAACAATATACCGGCTGGATCGCCTGAGTTACCAAAGGTCGCGCAGGCTATTGGGG